GACTTGCAGAAGGATGGCAAGGACATCCAGCCTTGTAATAAAAAAAAGGGTTTACAGAAAAAACACACCGGTCTTTTGGAAGGGATCTTAAGCGGCGATGGGGTGGTCCGACGCTCTCTTGGGGATGGGAGGATTTCAGGAGTTTTCTGCAGTCTGTTAAGCTTGTCATGTGGTGTGCGATACGAATGCGGTATGGAAGCTTATCTCGCCTTTTTTTATTTTCGTTGCTTTACACTCATCTGCAACTTAGATACACGTGTGTGTGTGTGTGTGTGTATTCACATATGTATACATACACACTTGCACACACACATACACACATACATACACACTTGCACACACATATACACACACACACATACACATATACATGCACACTTGCACACATATATACACACATATACACGCACACTTGCACACACATATACATACACACACATACACATATACATGCACACTTGCACACACATACACACACATACATGCACACTTGCACACATACACATATACATGCACACTTGCACATATACATACACACATACATGCATACTTGCACACACATATACATACACACATACATGCACACTTGTACACATACACATACACACACATATACATGCACACTTGCACACATATACATACACACATACACGCACACACATATACATACACACATACACATACAGACATACACATATACACATATACATACACACACACACATATACACATACAGACATACACATATACACATACACATACACACACACACATATACACATACAGACATACACATATACACATACACATACACACACACACATATACACATACAGACATACACATATACACATACACATACACACACACACATATACACATACAGACATACACATATACACATACACATACACACACACACATATACACATACAGACATACACATATACACATACACATACACACACACACATATACACATACAGACATACACATATACACATACACATACACACACACACATATACACATACAGACATACATATATATACACACACACATACATACACACACACACATACACACACGTATACACACACACACACACATGTGTATAAACACACACACATAAACACACACACACACATATATATATACACACTGCAACTCCCCCCCAGTTCTGTTCTGGTTTCTTTCTCGCTTTCCTTTACGGAAATCACCAGTGAATCCTGACATCTGAAATCAGTCTGGTTCTCAGAGAAGACGGGGGCTAAATCACGCAGGAAGAGCATGTGAGGCTTGTTGAGGGAAGCAGAGTCGGGACCAGAGAAAACCAGTTCAGTTCAAGTGCTGGAAGTGGCTGGATCTCTCCACCCTAGCGCTGGGGCCAGTAAGCCGCACGTTGGTAGAAGTCACCCCTGGAGGAGCACAGGCTGGAAAACTCCTGGCCTCTAGAGATCCCGGTCACGTACGGGGCTGTGCTGCGTGAAGTGCTGCCAAAGACCATTCCTGCCTAAACTGTTTGTTTGTTCTTGCGCTACTGGCATCGATTTAAAAAGAAAAAAAAAACCCACCAAAAAACAAAAACCTGTTTACAAGACGGTTGTGGAGTAAGAGACAGCATGGTGACCTGCTTGGCCGAACCCCAACTCCCATGCTCCTTACCCCTCCCTGCATTTACCAACACAGCTGACGGGTGCTTTTCTGGTCGGCGCATCAGCAGCAAAATTGCCGTTGTCGGCTGCCGCCGCCGACGCAGAAGGATTTCTCAGAGCTGAAGGGGAGGTGCTTTGTCTTTGCCGTTGACACAACCCACCTTTTTTTGCTTGCACGTTTTAGTGGGAAACAGTGGAGGCCACAACGGCAGGTCTACCCTGTGCAGGGTCCACAAGCCCTGCCACCAGCTTTACGGCTGAGACGTGCAGGTTCGGCATGAGGGTCCCTGACGGTCGTGGCAAACCACCTCCACTTCTGAAATGGCCAGGGAGGAGGAGGCAGTGTAAGTTTGTGTGTGGGAGAAAAAAAGTCTTATTCCAGGATGCTATTTCAAGAGCCATTCAGTCTCCTGGCCTAAGGGATGATTTAGCAAATGTTCAAGTAACAGATGAAAGTCAGTGGAGGTTGGCTTCCAAAGGCACAACCAATAATGAAAACCTTCACTAATTCTCAAAGGTTTTGGTTGTACAAATATGACACATTGGCATTAATTTTGGTGGAGAAAACAATCAGGCCAAGCTCAAGATAAAAAATAGCATTGGTGTTCTCCAGGTGTAGCTTGGAAAACCTG